CTAATCACCTAATTTACGAAGAAAAAGGCTTTAATAAACTTAAAAATTTAACCTGCTTATTTCGGGAAAATGATTGCTTAGAAGTTAGAAATTTGGGATTAAAAAAGAAAAGAGATGAGAAAAAGCAACCAGTTAATGTTTACTGCAAAGTTGTACGTAATTACCTTACAAAATATCAACAAGCAAGCCCAAAACGCTGCTAATTTCCGACGAAAATAAAAAATTGGAGCAAGAAGCCAGTAATTTAGAAAGAAAAAGAAAAAAATGAGAGGTTTTTGCGGGTAGTTTTGGGATTAAATAAAATTATTAAAGCAAATGGAACTACGATTATTTAATTCTCTTGAAAAAAAAATTACTCCCCTAGAACTTCGCCATGGCCAAACTATTAATATTTATCTTTGCGGTCCGACTGTTTACGACCATGTTCATATTGGTAATTTACGGTCAGTAATTATTTTTGATGTTCTTCACCGTCTCTCATTACACCTAAATATTAAAGTAAATTATATTCAAAATATCACGGATATTGATGATAAAATAATTGCTAAGGCACAAAAAGAAAGAAAAAGCGAAAAGGAAATTAGTCAGCACTATACCAAGGCCTATTTTGATAATCTAATTCGCTATAATATTTTATTTCCTAAGTATTTGCCCCGAGTAACTAATTATATTCCCCAAATCCAAACCTTTATTACTACTTTATTGGAAAAAAGTGCAGCCTATCAGCAGGGAGAGGAAGTTTTTTTTCGGGTGAGAGAAAATAAAGAATACGGCCGACTTTCTGGTCAGAACTTAGCCAAATTACAACCCGCTCGCGAGATAGCTTCCCGTAATAAAGCCAACAGCAAAGATTTTTTACTGTGAAAAAAAACTCGCGCGGGAATCGCTTGGAGTGCTCCTGTGCTAGGAAAGGGTCGGCCGGGCTGGCATACTGAATGTGTGGTATTTATTAACGAATTATTTCACGGTCAGGCTATTGATATTCATGGGGGAGGCAATGATTTATTATTTCCCCATCATGAAAACGAAAGAATCCAATATTTAGTCCACAACAATAGAGAATTAAGTAAAATTTGATTACACATTGCCCATATTAATTGAGGCAAAGAAAAAATGTCCAAATCACTGGACAATGTTATTCTGGCTAAACATTTTGCCCAAAAATACGGAGCCAATGTTTTACGATATCTTATTCTTAATAGTCATTATAATCAAGTAATCAATCTTAGCGAAGAATTAATTCAGCAAGCCGTCGATTATATTCAAAAAATTAAAAGCTTACTCAAAAAAATGAACTTTTACTTATATATAGAAAAAATAAAAATCACTAGCACACGAGAAACTCCCGAGCGGGGGGAAGAAATAATTAATAGTTTACTGAATAATCTTAACACTGTTAAGGTACTTTTTTTTTTAGAAAAAATCATTAATTCTCTTAATAAAATTATTGATGAGAAAAAACGTGACACAAAGCTTAAAGAGGAAATTAATAACTTTTATTTTATTTGTAATATTTTAGGATTTAAGTTTGATTTACCAAGTTATGACTTGTCAACTAAACTCTTAATTAAAAAGTGGCAAGAATTGCGAGAAAAAAAACAATATTCCGAGGCGGATCTAATAAGAAAAGAACTGCAACAAAAAGTTATTGTGTAATTAAACAACAGATTTTTTAGTTTGTTTAAGAAAATAAATTAAAATTTAAATTAAAATTGGAATATAAATATATAAATCTAATCCTCGTTGAGAGAATAAATTTTGCTCGTTTTCATAAACTTCTTAACATTAATTATTTTTTGAAAAATTTCTTCAACAATTTCCCCTTTTTCCTTCGCTCCAAACTCGTTATCATAATTGTCTAATTGGTGAGGAAAAAACTTATTGTCAGGTGAAGATATATAGTAATTATGGATATTCTGATAATTTTCTTGATTAACCATAGACAGGAAAAAGTAGTTTTTCGCCAGCACAATTAACCAAAAAATTCGCTCCCGCCCGCAAAGATAAATTATTTTTTTTTCGTGGTCTTGAATTAACTCTTGACAATAAATAACTGGGAAATAACGAGGGTAGGGGGCAGGGAAGTTTCAGTGGATAAAATAAGGTTCTATTTCTGCTTGGGTTCAGCTTATTCAGCAGCTTATTTTCTCAATTAAGTAATTACGGATATTTATTTTAGATTGGTGGAAGAGTTGGGCTATTTCAGTCAGAAATCGACCAGTTCTTTGCGGGTT